ACCACTAGAGGGGGACAGAGCCCCATCTGGCATGGGCGTGGCTTACAATCAGCTGATTATGAGGTTCCTCTGCCCCACCCTCAGATATTATCCGCTGAGCAATTTGGTTCCTTTGGCCTAATACATTCAAGGAGAGCCAAACGGGTGGGACCAGGCAGTGTCACTCCAGTAAGGAGGGTGATCTGTTAGAGAGAGAAAAGGACTGGGCATTAGGACTTCTGGATTCTAGCCTCAACTCTTAACACTTTGTAACCTGGTATAAGTCACTTAGCTTTCCCGTACCTCAGTTTCCCCATCTGTAATACAGGGCTAACAGAAAGTACCTGCCTCCTGAGGGGCTGGCGGGTGGGGCTAATGTCTGTAAACCACGTAGAGCCTGTCAAATAGACAGGCCTGAAGAGATGCAGTGTTGTTGCTGTTATCTTAGTGCTAGTGACTCTGGTTTGAAGACAGCTAGCTGCCCACAGCTGGTCCTGCGGCATTTGAATATAGTCTGTGATGGGCACGTCCAGCTTGTTTTCTCGTCTGAGCACACACTTGGCCCCTGTGCAGACAGCGGGTGCCAGTGACTGATGCCTCTTTGGAGCCGCTCTGGCACTCATTGGCAACCCAGACGGTCTCGCGTTCCCTCTCCCCACAGCATGGGGCCTGATCCTGAGAGGTGCTGGAGTCTCCCCAGCTTCCACTGATGTCAGGTTTCTGAGTGGGGGCTGCAAGCCTGGGTGGTGGGGCTCATTCTTCTCCCCTGTGGCACAGAGCCAGGTCTGGGAAGGGGGACAGATCACTGGCACCCTGGTTTTTCCTCCTTAGCCCAGACCCAGGTGCTGTCTTGTGAGTGTTGCATTTATTCACTCCCACGTACTCTGTTCAGTTGGCGAGACACAGTGAGGGAGGTGCTAGCTTTTATTGGACACAAGCTTTCGAGCCCCCCGGAGCTCTTCTTCGGGTCTCAGCTGACGTCAGCGGTAACACAACGCACCTCTAAAATGCATGTCCCTGGGACGTCTAGGTGATGTATGATGCACAGTGGGTGCATTTTCTCAGCATACAGGCCGGTACATACCCTGAGTCTCTTACCCACTCGCCTGCTTAGTTGTCTCCCAGGAACACTGTGAGTCCATGCACCAGCTGCTCTCAGGGTCTCTCAAGCAGGCAGGCCTTGCACCCGACAGGGACAGCCGGTGACGCTGCAGGGGAACCAGCAGGCAGGCCTTGTCCCCAGATTCTCTCTTGCAGCCATCTTGAGGGTTGGGTGAGGGAGCAGATACCTGGTGCATGTCACACAGGCTCTGCTGGAGGGTACATTTCCAGACCTTTAAATTGTGGTTTAAAGAAACCCAGCTGTGGAATTATGATTATCATTGTTTTCTTTCTTGCCAAAGTAGCATCTCAGGCCTCTGAGCCAAGTGTTTTGAACACACTGCCTGCAATTCCTGGTGTATATGCTGGGGAAAATACCCGCCACTTTGAGCCATTCACTAGAGGTCACGGGTGTCAGCAGGTCAGTTACATAACTCAGGTACGGCTCCCACAGCCAGGCAGGACAGAGGCAAAGGTGGGGTCAGGGAGGAATCTGTGTGGGGCCTGGAGAGACTCAGGGATAGGATGGGGACTGTGAGAAACCATGGGCCAGCATTTGAACTGAGGTCAGGGATTGCTTGGGTGGCGGGGGAGAGGGATGCAGGGGCCCAGTGCAGCATTGAGGTGCCATGCCATAGGTGGGTCAGCAAAGGAAAGTTTCAGGGAGCTGTAGGTGTCTCAACGGAGCTGCCAACAGCATCAATGAGAGAGGAGCTTGGGCAGGCGGGTCTGTGGTGAGTTGGTGAAATGTAGCGGGTGGCTCCCCAGGGCTCAGTTTCTGCAGGAGCGTGTCTAGGAAATGAGCTGCCGGGCCAGACGCTGCTTCCAGGGAAAGCCCGGTGGCTCCCCACATGCGACACCCTCCATGGGGCCTAGAGGGGTGGGCTGCTCCCCTGAGCAGGGCCTGGTCCTTGGGAAGCTGTGGCAGTACCCAGCCCCTCCAGCACTGCAGCGCCGCTGAGTGCCAGCAGGAAAGGGCTGGGTGCTGCGGGAGCCAAAGCCAGGCAATTCTTCCAGAAAGAGACAAGCTGAGAAAATGACCATTAGCACTGATTAGCGCCCCCCCACGCACAGGCCGTCCCTGCCTGGCTGCGCCGCAGCTTACGCCCGGACCCAAGGCCAGTCTTACAGTCACTGCCTCTGAGTCGGGCTGCGTTAAGCTCCCAGTAACAGCGCATACCGAGCGCCCGGTCACCGCGAATGAAGTGTGACGGAGCCGAGCTGGGGCTGCCACCCGGAGTTCCCAAGCAGCCACACACGCGTTCCCGGGCCGGGGGCTGCTGCTGTGTCTTCAATCCCCTTCCAGCCCTACATGTCTATGATTCTGTGCTCTTGGTTAACCCTGGTGCCCAGCCTGGTGCCCAGCCTTAATCCAGGGTTATTATAATCTGCCTGCCTAAAGTCTCCCCTTTGTAGTTTCCACTGAATGTGGCCTCCTCCTTCCTAAACTGGTGTGCAGTGTTCCCATGTGCCCGGCAGAGCAATTTCCTGTGTTTCACCGGCTCAGCTGCATTCAAGTTTGTTGGAACTCACCTCATTCTTTCGGATACTTCTGATGCTACGAAAGAGTGACGCCCCTTTTTGATTCCAGCAGCTAGTCAAATGTTGGGACCCTGGAGATGAAAGAAGAAAGTGATGGAGTCTGTTATTTTCTTTGAGGCAATCTCGTTTGCTTACAAAGAATGTACTAAGGCCTGCTCCTCTGAATACAGGAGGGACAAAAACCAAAAGCCTACAGCCCCAAGCCTCTTTAGCCAGCAGAATCAAAAGCTCTCTCTCTAGCTTCTTCCAGCATCACACTGAGCTCTGCTCACAGGCTACTGGTTGGCTTTCTTGCTTTTGTCTCTGGCTCTCTCTCTGTTCTCAGTTTCTGTGTGTCACACACACACACACACACACACACACACACACACACACACACACACACACACACACACACACACACACACACACACACACAC